ATAGACGATTCTAATCACTGTAAATTTTGAAGAGATACCATAAACTCGCGCGATACCAAGGTAAAATATTTAAAATCAGTTACCCTGTACAGGTATCAATTTGCAACAGTGATGATAAGAACACAATCGCTACTAAATTCAGCGTAATATCTCTCCTTTTCCAATTAACTTTGAACCTCTTGAATCGGCCCCTTTTTTCATTTTTCCAACTCCCGTGTTCCATTAAAATCATCCATGAAAAGGATCGAACAAAATGAAATTCGAATAAAAGAACTTTTGCCTGTTAGTTTGGGAAAAATCTGCGATTTATTTCAAACTCTTTGACTTCTCAAACTTTTGCTGGTACGTAACAATACACACACACACACATATATACGTACGTGACTGTCGATTAATCTCAACTGATTCGCGTTATCCAATATCGCGTGAGATATTTTTCATACTCGTACACCCCTTTCTCTTTCTCTCGTCGCCAGCGATTCTCTTTCCGGGCAATTCACAACGATTTCAACGTTTAGTCGTTTCTGTGCGTTACGTTCGCGAGACAGGCACCTGCGAAGATAACCATTTTAATATCCACCTTTAACTTTGCGTTCCTTTCGACGTTCAATCGTCGGAATGATCTTTGCGACACGACAGCAGACGGCTCTGTCGTATAGAAATATCGATCGGCAAGAACTCGGTCCCTGTTCCCCGTAATCTCGTGAACCTTTCTCTCTCTCTCTCTCTCTCTCTCAGAGTCTTAGATCCTTTCCTCGTGTACCTTCGTACCTTCGTTCACGGCAAAGTCACGGCATCTAACGTTGCATTAAAGGCTTTCCAACTCCCCCCATGTAAATTGCAGTGTCACGCAACCTGGATATTTCATGCTTTCCACCCTCGGTCCTTCCCTCAGTTTGTCGACTTTGTTTGGCGACGATTAACGAAATTTCCGAATAATTAAGTTATTGAAACGGGCGAGCGATGAGATCAACTTTTAGCTGGCAAACGAGATTCACAGCGTGCCTGGCGATTGTGTCCTCTTCTTTTCCTTTGCGAAATTGTGAACTGCAGGTCGCGGTGTCTCGTCTCGATATCCAGTTGACGGCACGCCGCACGTTAAGCTTCGCTTCGCGGAACTTAAAAACTCATTTTGAAAGTGAACGCGGGGAATGAAACAGTTCCGGGCAATGTTTTCTTGGAAGTTCGAGTTGTTCGAGTTTGAGAAGTTTGCCAAGTCGAAGCCTCTGGCCTCGTTCTCTGATATCAAAGTTTCTCGTACCTCCGGATTCGCAAATGAATTTATATTTTTTTTCCATAGTTCCGCGAAGTCTTTCAGTTTATATATATATATATATAGAGAGAGAGAGAGAACTAGAACTGGAGAAATTGTTGATTTGTGATTTACGATTGGAGAGCAAATGACGTTCAAAAAGATCGATGCGAGATATCAGCGTTTACTTTATCATTCCTGCAGCGATAATGTTCCTTGATTATGATCGATTATGACTTTTACCAAAGGAAACGATGGCTTAATCTTTCATAATTTACGCGGGTTCCGTTACAAGTATCGACAAGACCTACATGGTTTCCCCCGTGCCATCATGCTCCTTGAACAAGATCGAGTGGAAATGAATTTTTCAACCGACTGTTCCATCTTCCTTCAGTGTGCGTTCGCCAAAAATTGCACATCTCTTTGCTTTTCCTCTCGTGAATTTTACCCTATCTACTTCATCTACGAATATTTTACCAGTTGTGTTTGGAAATGAATTTTGCAACTGGCTGCTAGATCTTCCTGCTTCCTCAAACAATTGCACATCTCTTTGCTTCTCCCCCAAAAAGGGTAAATTTCACCCTTCATTTCATCTGCGAATTATTCTGCCAATCGTTTGCCACATAAACGTGCGACTTCTCTCTTCAATTTATTTCGTTAAAAAAAAAAAAAAAAAAAAAAAAGAAAAACGAAAAGAGAAAGACAGACACAGCAGCGGAGTAAAGCGATAAACGATTCTTCGAGCGTGGAAAGCCGCGCAAAGCAGAAATTAAGCAAAAGGAAACTCGGCGCAAGGATTCGTTTTATCGAGTGGCACACACCGGCGTTGAAATCGGAAAAGAATCAAGCGCCAGCCATGAAATCGTGTGGCGCAGAACTGATATCGATCAACCTGTTTCCACCCTTGTGAGTATCCTGCCATTCCTCTCAGTCTCTCTACTCCCTCCCCCATTCGAATCGGAATGGAATGCGTTTTGCCATATTTTTCCCCCGACGCTGGCGGTCGCACAGGCTCTTACGACCGTGCCGGGTAAATAGTGGGAAAACGGGGGGAGGGGACGCGTTTGAAAAAGGAGGAAACGCGTAAAGGATGGCCGGACATTTTCGCGAAGAAGCATTTCACGCGCTCCGCGTTCCGGAATGTGGTCGACGCCGCGTGCGAAATAACAATTTCGCTACCTGTCTCTCGGAACTTACGCTTTGCCTCCTTTTTCTTTTGCCTTCTCTCTCTTTCTGACGTTCCTCATCATTTTCGTTTTTTTTTTACTTTTTTCCCCTCGTGTTTCTCTCTCTCTCCCTCTCTCTCTTGTTTTTTTCTTTTTTTTTTCCTCCACGGAAGATCGGTCAAATCATTGGTTAGTCCTCGATGGTTCACGAAAACGAGCAGATGAATAGATTTATGGTTCCAACGCGACTCTTGCGCGCGAATAATTTTCGAATCCACGGTGGACCGATGCGAGTGAAAAATCTGCGCACGTTGGAAAGTGTGCGTTTGATGGATGCTCGGGGAAAAGGTCGATTTGGACGTTCGATGAAACGGCGGTGTGGAAAAGGGTGAATGCCTCGTGACGTATGTTTCGCCAACCGGCTCCGCTGGATTTTTGGTCGTCGAGCAGCCGCCTGTTTTGTTCGATATTTGACTACTTGCTTCAGTTGAGATTGCAGCATGCGAATTTTACGAAATAAAGTTTAAACGTCGTCCGAGAATCCTCAAATTATTTACTCTTCAATCACCTCGAATTTTGCCAACTCTTTAAATAACCTTAGAAAGAAAGAAAAAAAAAAAGAGAAAGAAAGAAAGAATATCTCTATCGTAAATCGTTGAAAGGAATCCTGTCGGAAAAAATTAGTCGAACGAAACGAGAAGCCTCCGAGTTTCTTTAATAGAGCTCAGCACGAAGATGGGCAGTCTGTGCAACTTGCGGAATTTCGTTGAAGCCGGCCGAACGTCAACGATAAATCAGTAGTTTTTATTCCAGCCATACCGACCAACGACGTCGACGACGACGGAAAGGATGAAGATGCTCGTGTTGAAACTGCAGCGACCACAGAATTCTTGCATGCAGCGAAATCAGGACTGCTGACCGAGCTTCCGTGACTGAATGCGCCCGTACCGCGAGCACACATAGTCTTCCGTGCACACCTGTATATACATATGTGTGTGTGTGTGTGTGTAGAAGACGATGTATCTGCGTTGCTCGTGAATGTACTACACGCGCAGAAACCGGTGTATATTCGCGGACAAAACACGGTAGCTCGGGCTCATTTTCGATTTGTCGTTGTCTGTCGGAAAAACGGAGGGACGCATCGCGAGGCCGATCTTTTTTGTTCGCGTCCCGCGCAACTGTTCTACGAGCAGCCGTGTGCCACGAGCTGCTCGGGGGGAAAATCGACCGGTCGTCGGATCTCGATCGAACGAGGGAAACGCGAGTTCGAGAAAGAAGTTTTCCTGCAGAAAAAAAAAAAAACTGTGACAACTCTCGCGGGAGACGAACAGTCGAAATAATTGTGGATCATTTTGGGAATCAGTCGAGATTCTACGCGAAAGAGTTTTAGAAAGAAGAAGAGTTTAACACGAGTCAACGATGACATGTTAGCGCGATGTGGAAAAAAAAAGAAAAAAGAAAACACGGTCGGATTCTACGCATCGAGAGGGTGAATTTTGTCACGGAAGCTTCGCGAGGCTTTACGATCGAGGCGCTCTTTCAATTATTACGTTTCGCCTCGTTGATTTATGTGTTTCTTTCTTTTCGTATTGCTAGACTTTCCGGTAAAACTTGATACCCGTGGCGACGCGCGAACGCCAGAGAGAAAAATAACGCGCGGGGGAAATATTTTCGATAGGGGAATCATCTCTGCAACGTGAAAAATATTTTTCGCCCGGGATATTCCATGGGATATAATTCCTATTGTTCTCTATAACACTCAGATATCGAAGATTGATTCGTTTCCACTGTCTCTTTAACGAATCCGTCGATTATCAGATCCGTTTTTCTTTTCAACCGGGCCTCGAATTTCCAACTTTTCGCCATTTCCTTTTTCAAAGAATATCATCTCTCTCGTCGACGATTAAACGAATCGAACGTTACTTTTCTGTCGCTGGCGTTCGCCTCGTTAGAAACGGGGGAGGGGAGGGGGGAGGCGGGGAGGGAACGAAATTTACAAACTAACTTGTCGCTTCTAACCGTACTAATCCGTGAAACGATTCTACTAACCAACAAACAGGTTCGTAATCTTGGAGAAGGAGGTAACACCTGTCTGGATTCGCCGGCACGCAAGGCAGACTTGCACAAACCGGCTGGACTCTACCCTTGCCATCGACAGGGTGGAAATCAGGTACAAACAGACGCACGAAGAGTGAACTCGAACATCGACCAGACCCCTCCCCGTTATTTTAAGCCCCGTTTTCAGCCATTTCTTTCATTCTCTCTCTGTCTGTCTGTCTGTCCAAAAGTTTCACGCTGCAAGCGAAATCTCGACTTTTCGAGTTTTGCGAAATGCAAATCTAAATTACGAAAAGTCGATTTTTCAAGCCTTCTCGAAATTCTGACTTCTGTTCACACCTGCATGACTAGTTGTCCGTATTCTAGGCGCTATTCCACGTACTATCTCTGTGTGCGCTTCGTGTTTCTCCCACTTCTTCAGGATCGCGAGACGAGGGACAGAAATTTGGCGTTGCGCTAAATTTCCGTGTAACGAAAAATACTCTGGGCTCGGTAGATAGACCGAGGAACGAGAAAGGAAAAAGGAGAAAGGATGAAATTAAAAAAAAAAATTCTCTCTCGATATTTCTCGCGGCGAAAGGTCCGTAGTAATTGTGTGCAAATCTGTTGATTCGCTGCAGATCAGACACCTGGTTAGCAGCATATGTATAGACTCGCCAGGAAAACCTGAAGACCTGCACCAGCCAGTGGGTTTATATCCCTGTCACCGCCAGGGAGGCAATCAGGTACACGATCGAACGCGTTACGTGAATATTTGAAATAACGATCGGGGCACGCGGTGCTTGTTTTACTCTATCCAGCCGTATGTATGTTTTTCTTGGAATCCTTGGATGGTGATGGGATATTCGAAAATCTACTTGCTTGTAGCACGTTGGCAGAACGAGGAGAATTCGCGTTTCCCTTTTATTTAGATTCTTCTGTGTGTAACGTGGAACACGTTGGGAATGAACTTTCGAACATTTTCCAGAAAGTTTATTTTCTATTATATTCGTACATGGAATAACGTTACTCTGATTCGTTGGGCGTTTACATGTTCTACGAAACGATATATATATATATATACACAGACGTACGTCGATTTAATTTGAAGAAAAG